GCCAAAAAACTAAATCAGCATATTTTCGGCTACTCTATTGATTCCTTAGCACCCCTCTGGTCTGTGTCTTTGGTGTTGCATGTATGTCACAATGCTGTCAATATTGCACGTAGGACGATATGTCGCCAGTGTTGCATGAAAATATATGATGTATTGTTATCGATCTTTTATAATAAGAGTCAATAATTTTGCTGTCTGGGCAGTTTTATCTTCTCAATCAGTTTGGAAGAAATATTATCAAGATACATTCATTTATCATTTTCATGGTTCAATTGCTCCATATCTTTCGAACATTCACTTACATTTTACACTGTCCAAGGATTCGTGATTCTAGTCACAAAATGAGCACATGTATTTATGGATCGTTTGAAGACAGACACACAATATAATATCACATGTATTTAATACTATATCCGAGGACTAATGATTCTAGTCACACAATAACAACATGTACTCTTCTCGTACATTGTCTGCTGACACACAGTACCACATGCATTTTATACTGTCCGAGGACTAATGATTCCATTCGCACAATAACCACACATACCTATACATTGTCTACTGACACACAATACCACATGCATTTTATACTGTCCGAGGACTAATGATTCCATTCGCACAATAACCACACATACCTATACATTGTCTACTGACACACAATACCACATGCATTTTATACTGTCCGAGGACTAATGATTCCATTCGCACAATAACCACACATACCTATACATTGTCTACTGACACACAATACCACATGCATTTTATACTGTCCGAGGACTAATGATTCCATTCGCACAATAACCACACATACTTATACACTGTCTGAAAACACAAAATAACTGTTTATATAATAAATGTTTATATGCTGTCAGAGGACTAATGATTCTAGTCATTGAAAGAGGAGTGATAATTCTAGTCACAAAAAAGTGGGTTTGGGGTAGATATCACCCGGGAATATATATCATATATGAGGAGCGGGCAGGATATATTGTATATGTCCCGCTCTAAGCCAAATGTGGGCAGATATAATATATCCATCCCGCTCCCGGGAATTTTTCAAAAGTAAAAAAGTTTAAATTTTTTAAAGTTTAAATGTTACGATTTCATATTGAACAAAAAGAATATTACGAAAATGTTAAATATAAATTGTGCTTTTACTATAGGGCCTATCTTGTCATTTGAAAAAGGTGGAAAAGGTTATATCTACCCTAAACCCACTCAAGTATGAGATACACCAGTTATGTACGGTCGGTTTTGGAAATAGGGTATATCCCTCGGGAAATATTTTTATCTCCCCTTGGTCCCTTCGGTCCCTCGGGGAGATATAAATATATCCCTCAGGATATACCCTATATCCAAAACCTCCCAGTACATAACCCTTATATACTTTCTGAGGACTAATTATTCGAGTCACACAATAACATACGTATATAATTAATAATTATTCTCGTGATAATTCCAGTCAGACAATAACGCATGTATTTATATACTGACCGAAGACTAAAAATTCTAGTCACACAATAACCACGTGTATCTATACACTGTCTAGCCATAATACGATCCAATTGATAATCGATAAATTGAGTACCACAATTATTGTTGATAAATTAGGTTTGTTCCGAAATAAAATGCCATTCTTATCAAACGTGTCCAAACGTTATTTGTATCTGATGAGTTAGCGCGAGACTTGTGAATTGGTGAATAACACCTAGCAACCAATCGTTGTCGTCTATGCAGATTTAGAATACATTTGATTCTCCAAATGTATATATACCGGGATAATTAAAAACATTCCAATAGTCATCAGTCTTCATGTTTTGTTTCAAATAACGATTTGCTTTAATAATGGAACGATACAAATCAGCAATCGCCCCCAAATGCCAAAATGATCAGATTGAAAAATCTCATCTATAAAAAATCGAACCTTAAAATGCAATTTCAATTTACATCAACGCAACGTGATTGATTTTCTTAGGAAACAAATGCACAATGGTAATGTGATATGTCTACCAAATTTATCAAACTCCGCAGTTAGATCTAATAGGTCATAAACTCTGATAAATTACTATGTTTAGATTCGGATAATATACGTCCATGACAACGTAAGCTTGAATTACACTAGATGTGGAATTTTATAGTACGGGAATCAATTTTGTATATATTTATAATATTTTATACTTTTTGTATAAATCCGTATGGTGACTGTTATGAATTTTAGCTACACTTGATTCAATATAAAGGACTGGCTTGTTGATTGATACATTGAACAAAAAGGCAAAGATACAAGAGCTACATTCCTGAAAACATTTTTATTTACAATACAACTAAAAACTGAATGACCACCACAAACTGATAACCCCAATCTACATTATGCAACTTCTAATACTTAATTTGAAACACCTTTGTTCGATACCTTGATCTTCACAAAGCAACTTAATCTTTAATTGGATGACTTTTACTCGATACCCTGATCTTCACAATGTAACTTAATCTTTAATTGGATGACTTTTACTCGATGCCCTGATCTACACAATGTAACTTAATCTTCAATTGAGTGACTTTTACTCGATGCCCTGATCTACAAAATGCAACGTAATCTTTAATTGGATGACTTTTACTCGATGCCCTGATCTTTACAATGCAACTTATACTTATCTTTAATTAAGTGACTTGTACTCGATACCCTGATCTTCACAATGCAACTTAATCTTCAATTGAGTGACTTTTACTCGATACACTGATCTTTTCAATGCACCTTGTACTTATCTTTAATTAAGTGACTTGTACTCGATACCCTGATCTTCACAATGTAACTTAATCTTCAACTGAGTGACTTTTATTCGATGCCCTGATCTGCACAATACAATGTAATCTTGAGTTGAGAGACTTTTACTCGATACCCTGATCTTTACAATGCAACTTATCTTTAATTAAGTGACTTGTACTCGATACCCTGATCTACAAAATGTAACTTAATCTTCAACTGAGTGACTTTTACTTGATACACTGATCTTTACAATGCAGGTTAATCTTCAATTGAGTGACCTTTACTCGATATATCTACAAATTGCAATTTATTATTTATTTGAATAACTCTAGTCGATACCTTGGTCTACACATTGTAACTTAATCTTCAATTGAGTGACTTTTACTCGATAACGAATGACCTCTACTCAATATCCTTATTCACACAATGCAACTTAATACAAGTATTCAAAGGAATGGACTGTGAGACAAATGTATATGCGCAAGTGCAAACGGGAAAGTATCAAAAATGGTTACAGAACAAAGCAAGAAACATTTAAGACTCGTACACCAGTCTAAAACAAAAAAACCAACTATCCCAAATTATAATCCAACGTGAAAAGAAACAGTGTGTAATACCCCTTCCCCAACGTTCAAGGGACCTTGCCTTATATGGTGAACCATTACTTATAAGACACCCGAGTACGCATATACCCGCTCACTATTACCTTTTTTACTCAAAACTAAGAAGCTTACAGTCATTTCACAGGCACCAGTTATTTGAATGAGCTAATAATTTAGTATAACAATTATTACCATTTTACTATTATTTATGTACTTTGTGTTTATATTGTTTGACATATCCTTGCCTAGCCAAGGTTGTTTTAAGAGAAATGTAAAACTAACTTCCATGTGAAATAAACTCCAGAGAAAAAACTTAACTTGATATATTGATCTACATACCGGAACTAAATATTTCTACTTCTTGATCTTGATCGACACAATGGAATTTAATATTTAATTGAATGACTTTTACTTTATATCTTGATTTACATACGACAATTGTTAATCTTCAGTAAAATCACCACTTAACGAACTTCACGAGATTCTTGAGTTTGTCTGGGTTAGTTCCTAACTGTGTATTGATACGATTTATAAATTGATGTTACGTTGCAAGCTGTTTCCCATTTTGCAGTCATGATTATCTCCCAAGTTTGTCGTATACTCAAACGAGCATTCCTAATGAGGGACTCATATGGTCGTTTTAAAGTAGGAAATGGTTTCCAAGGGACTCCAAGACGCTATGCTGCTGCATTTGAATTACGACTGCGTTATTTATGAATTATTTAGCCTATTAATTCTTATCTCTTTTTAGTTTCATCATTTATCGTTTAATTCTGTAAACTATAAGCTCACTTACTGCTATGAGTATTAATTTGCAATTGAGTCAGTGCAGCCATTGCTTAAGATATTCCTTTAAGCCAAAATCATTATTAATCGATCCTAAAACGCCCATTTAAACAAATAAACGGAAGATTACCCCTAGGTTTCTCTATACGTAATGTTAGAATTTATAATGTCATTCCTGTTATGCTAAAAAGTATTTTGTTCCGCGGCAATTTCATACGCTGTTCCTCTCGCAAAATATGCCGAACGCAGTCAGGTCGTAAACTAATGTAGATGGAGCTCTTATTAGGATGGAAAGTTAACCGAACGCAAAGGATACTGAAAAATGTTTTGATTAAATTTTCCTCAATTTATGTTCAATCAGATAACTAAAATGATAAATCACATTGTCTTCACTGAATTTACATATTTAAGCCTACAATTGAAATACTCAGACAGCGGAAATAATTTCCCACTCCGCCAATTTCATTCAATTTTATTCAATTCTAAGTTTTAAAACAAGCCTACCAGGATTTACTTATAACAAGTCACAATATACGTTGATCTTGCCAAGTGGTTTGTGGTGTCTGGTATCTTGTGTTTGAAAACAACCTCTTTATTGAATGTATCAAATATTCAAGTTTAGTGATAAAAAAGACGAAGTGTATCTACATGATTCTGTATTATTTCAAGATAAAAGATTTTCCTTACAGTAACCGAATTTATTCTAATGTAAAGATAAATCTTGTGCTTCTTATTTCCACGGCGTGTAATTTCCCAATGTCAATTTGCCGCTTAATTGAAATGCTTCTTCAGAAATAATAGCATAGCATGCACTTAATTTCCTTCAAACATGTTCCTGTACTTACCTTTAAGGTCCTCCCTACAAGCTGTCCCTAGTATCGGACATTTATCTCCAGCGGATCGGTGAAAGCCAACGTATATTAGAAAAATGTGTCTAGCGTGCTGCTGTGTTTCTGTTATATGCTGCAGTAACTATTTTGTCACTGCATTTTAATAGTATATCGCGGCTGAAACATCAAGCTCGATAAACCAATCAGTGTCTGTGCCGTCTGTATTCTCAGCGTATTGAAATAATTCTGTTTGTTTGTTTGCAGATTTTCTTGTTATATCGATTGGATTGGTGATTGATATCGATTGATTTTTCGGTTGATTTTACAGAGATTTTATAGGGTGTCCCATAATGATGATGGCTGATGTTTTTACACAAATTGACCTCAGTCAAAAATAAAAACCTACCAAGATAGGTATAAGGTTCTCACTGACAGAAATATTCTGTTGAATTATATTTCCATTGTTTTCAGATAAGTGCATGGAAAAATTCCATTTTGTCCTTGTATTTTAGATGGGAATATGGGCTCGATTGGAACTTTCAATTCAAATTATAGTGTTATTGCAGTTATTTGCTGCAAATATCATTGAATAAAAGAAATATTTACAAGAGAGAATGTAGTAAAATTATATACGTTTGAATAAATAAATGAATTCAATTTTAAATTACCCCCAATAAATGGTTCGCTGACATCACTATTCAATATTTTTGGTATGTTTCTTTAATGTGAAAAATACTTGGCAACACCTGGTGGTCAAACTGGAATCTAGATTATGGGAAATACATTTTGAATTAGTGTCACTTGGGCATGGTTCTGAAGAATCAAAATTAAAATAACATTTTACAAATTGCTTCAGATACCCCCGGGCCTTATTACCTTGCAACCATCACATTACAACGCATGTCATGTAATGATATATAATGTCAGCATAAGTTTATTTAGAGAATAGGTCCCTCTATACAGCTACGGTTACATAACATATGGGGCACCCTGTATAAATAAATTAAAACCTAGTGTGTCCACTTTTGTTTTTCACCTGACAATGGTTTGTCGATTTTAGAGGGAATTTTAAAGTTATATTCTATATTATAGTTGGGAATCATTCTAACTGTTCATATTTTGGACAATTCCTTAGCTCGCTCGAAACACCAGGGTCTGTTGTAGCATACTAACTAACACCATGGAAGACATACGGCTACCATAATCCGCTAGAGTTATCAATCATCGACTAACACTATTTTGACATATTTGTTTTAGAAAATAGAACAAGAAAAATTCACTAAATAATTAGAACCTTGTTTTAAAATAACCAACTGAACGTAGTAATACCCCTGAGACCGAAGGTCACCTGTTTGCCGATTCATAAAACTGAAAATCTGTTCTCAATTTGCTAGAATCGGTTCACTATTCCCAATCTTACTGCGAGATAAAAAAGGCCAACGTTTAAACTGAGATACATTGTATCAGGTTGTCCATCGTTGGCATTTTGAACCATGTGGCATAACTCATTTCCTTTACAAATTAGTTTCTGATGTCAACGTTATGTGATAAAATATCAAGATCTGAATTGAATTGGCAGCCAACCATTTTCAGAATTCAACATCAAACAAAACATTTGGGAAATCAGTCATTGCATTTTGCTCCACAGTCCATTGATATTCAACTATCACACCATTTTTTGTATTTTTATCTGTCCGTTTCATGAGTTTATCATTTGCATTTTTGTCCTTGCACACAAACAGACATGTTCGAACCAGGATGCTTTGACTTTCTGATATCACATTCATTCCCTTAGCTGAATAGCCTTCTGGTTTCTGACATTTTGAGACCTCAGGGAAATCCACAATTTTTTCAATTAATTGGCAATTGTTTTCCCGTACAAAATTTGACTGGGACGATGTTTTCAACCCTGTATAAGTAGAATAAGTAAACTTACATAGTAGATCAAACATAGGTGCCGGTCAACAATGAATCATTGTATACCTTGGATTGAGCAATAAGAATGGACATCTGGAAATTCAGTGGACGAACTAACCATGATAACTTAACCATGATAAATAGCATCTTGGATTACCAAGGTATGACTGTTTCCATACCCTGGAATCTGAGGCTGAAATACCTGCCCAAAATCCTATTATTTGGAAAATTAAACTGGTAAGCGAGTATGGTATACATGTACACATTGCCCACATGAGGTATATAACACAATTGTATATCATAACGACATTTCATTATACTTTTAAGCTAATTATAATTGAAAGGGAATTGCTTGGAAAGTTTCCGTGTTGTGTAATATCGTGAGATACAATTACAGAATTGGCTGTCATAATTAAGAGGATCGCCGTGATACGCGACGCACTACTTATCTTATTATATTTCTAAGGAAATGAGACAGTGCAGTTACAATCGCGGGCATGCTTCAAGACTTGGCAATAGAAAATAAAACTTATTGTACACACTATTCGTTCATCATATTACTTTCTCTATTGAGGCACGTAATATGAAAGGTCGACTCTACAGAAGAACTTCAATTCTGTATAATTTATATGTTTGATTGTTGCTTAAGATGCTTACTCATCAACATTTGCACCACAGAATACCCGACATGCACCAACGGAAACCTGACATGCATTAACGGAAACCTGACATGCGCCAACGGAAACCTGACGCATACCACCGAAAACCTGACATGCACCATTGAATAGCTGACACGAACCATCTGAAACTTGTCACACACCACCGAAAACCTGACATACACCACTGAATAGCTAGCATGAACAACCTGAAACTTGACACACACCATCAAAAACCTGACACACACCACCGTAAATCTGACATGTACCACCACTAACTTGATGTGCTCGGCTGGAAACTGACATGCGACAGCTAAACCTGATATGCACATCTACCCTCAAGTTTTTTGGCATACACTACGACATGCTCCATACACATGCATACACATAAAACGATTACCTGACAATTATCACGTAAAACCTGACATGCCCTACGGTATAACTGACATGAACCACTGAAAACCTGACACACACCACCGTAAATCTGACATGTACCACCACTAACTTGATGTGCTCGGCTGGAAACTGACATTCAACACTTAAACCTGATATGCACATCTACCCTCACGTTTTTTGGCATACACTGCGACATGCTCCATACACATGTATACACATAAAACGATTACCTGACAATTATCACGTAAAACCTGACATGCACTACGGTATAACTGACATGAACCACTGAAAACCTGACACAAACCACCGTAAATCTGACACACATCACCGAATTCAGGACACGTATCTTTGGATACCTGATATGAACAACAAAAACCTGACACAACTCGCATCGAATGTCTGACATGCATGCTAAACAACGTGTACCACCATATACCTGACAGGAACTACGACATGTACCAAAGGGGAACCAAACATGTCTGTCAGTTGCACCCATACGTATGCTTTGATATTTCCGTTTATCGGAAAACAGGACTGATAAAACCTGAGAACAAACAAAAAATTACAAAAGGAACTAAGTGATTATAAGTGACTTATGACTTGTCAGATTTATCTAAAGAACATTAGGCATAACTTATTCTGCAATAAAAAAAACAGTGTGCTTTATTCCATGATACGAAGACATACAGTGTGCTTTATTCCATAATACGAAGACGCACAGTGTGCTTTATTCCATGATACGAAAACACACATTGTGCTTTATCCCATGATACGAAGACACACATTTTGCTTTATTCCATGATACGAAGACACACATTGTGCTTTATTTCATGATACGAAGACACACAGTGTGCTTAATTCCATGATACGAAGACGTGCGGTGTGCTTTATTCCATGATACGAAGACACACAGTGTGCTTTATTCCATGATACGAAGACGTACAGTGTGCTTTATTCCATGAGATGAAGACGCACAGTGTGCTTTATTACATGATACGAAAACACACATTGTGCTTTAATCCATGATACGAAGACGCACAGTGTGCTTTATTCCATGATACGAAAACACACATTGTGCTTTATTCCATAATACGAAGACGCACAGTGTGCTTTATTCCATGATAAAAAGACACACAATGTGCTTTATTCCATAATACAAAGAACGTCGCAGACAGAATATATTTATGAACAATACTTCAGACTGATTAATTATAAGTTAATATTTGCATATTTGAACAACTTAATGAATTTAGCAGATTTGGTTAATCGTACTTCTTTTATCTACGTTTCTTCTTGTTTGATAACATGATATAATTTTACCGGTCATAACATCTGTGGATGGTTGCTATATTTGACAACCCTTTGCATTCGTTCAACTTTTCTTCTTAAAAGAGAGCTCAGTCTTCTTGTAACTAGACTATGTGCGCCCAGGGTAATATTTGACCATAATTATTTTGATATTTTTTTCTAAATGTTGTGAGTTGTTCTATTGAACCATTTCCAATCTTTCACCATATTTACGTAATTCTTTTTGAAATTTCCTCCATTTGAGGGCCATTTTCGATAGTTTGGCCGAAATTGATTGGCTACAAAATTTTGGTCTCAAAAAATGTTCGGGCTCAAAAAAAGTTTTTCAGGGCGCCAGTGCTCTGAATGTTTGTATGATAATACAAAAAATGAAAAGACATGGCTGCTTGTTAAAGTCCTTAGCAACGTTTTCTAAATGTACAGAGAGCACTTGTTTGACAATGTCACAGGGTTATTTGTTCAATAACCTTTCAATATCTTGACAATTTATTCTGTTCATTACAGCTCGAGTGCATGATTAACCACACGAACCTCTATTAAAAAAATAAGATAAACCAAATGACTGTAAAACGCCACCCACGAATATCATTTAGTGTCATTACGCCTTTATGACCATTTGATATGTTTTTCTGCTTGTTACTCGACAGTGGGGCCCTCAAAGATAATTTTAAGAAATACTCAAAACTTACTGGAAAAAGTTCATAAGTTTGATTATGGAAGATCATAACATTGATTATCGTCGTTGATGTGAAGAGAAAATAAGTATTCAGGCGATAACAAGTAATCGTTTATTCATAGAACACTGTTTCCGAAGATATCTAAAGTGGATCATTAATTTATATTTTGTGTAAAATA